CCGCTGCCTTTGCTTCGGCCTCTGCCACGGCGCTGCGCTGTCAGCGCTTTCGCTTTGCCTTGTCGGCCATATTGTATTTGCCTCTCTTTGCGCGCGCTCTCTCACTCGCTCGCGCTCTCTCACTCAACTGTGGAGACACCGTTACGATTGCTGCTGCTGCTGCTGCTGCTGCTGCTGTTGCCTCTGTTCCGTGCTATTTATTAACCTTTTATTTAATGCTATTTGCTTAGATGTTTCGCTCGCACGTCGTCCCAACAAATGCTAAAGGCAACTGATGACAGGCCATCGCCTTGCAATTACCCTTACCCACGGCTTGAGGTTGTGGTGCGCTTTTTTGTTCGAGTTGGATTCGGCTGGGCTGGGGCCGGAGCTGTGCCTGGGTTGAGTTGGACGAACTTGTATGTGTGTATGTAATTAGGTGATTGTCTGTCTGGTTCAAATGTCGCGTTTGTTTGCTTGCCTTACGTTTCTTTTGTTGCCCCTGCGCCACCTATGTAAATGTATGTATGTATGTATATGTGTATGTGTGTGTATAACAGTTGGCAAATGGAAATGGAGCGCTTGGCTGATCGTTAAGGCGGAGCGCCAATTGCAACTAATGACAGATGATTGCGGCTGTTGATTGAATGTAAACTGAATGGAATCGCAGAATGAATGCATTTTCGCATTTCGTATTTCGTATTTCGCATTTTAATTTCCCTTCATTTGTGGCCTGCCTTCATTTAAGCACTATAATTACCATCGACCGTTGAACAGCTTTTCAGGTTCACTCGCACCAATATGATTGTTGACAATGATCCGAGTGCGTAATTTGCTACGCAAATAATTTCATAAGAGATTTCGCTTTGTTAACTTTTTTTTTTTTCATTGTATGAATAAATATGATATTTGCCGGAGCTAACAAGTTAGCACACTGCTTATTGGATTACCATGTACGACTCTTATTAGACCGTGCTGTATGCTGATTGGATTGATACCCCTTGGAAAAAACTTGTACTTGTATATTGTGACCCCATAACTGTAATATTAAACAAATGGAGATTATAGAGCGAAAGGTTTGGATTGGTGATTGGAAAATATTAATTGGATATATAGATTTAAATGCACATTTACTTATTAATTAAAAATAAAGCCAAATCCAACTTTTTATACATATATTTATTTATTTTTTTTTTTAATTCCAGTTTATTTCTTCAAAATATCCAATTATTGATAAAAATTTAATTTTGATTAATCTTAATCTAATTTAAATTAATTCAATTAACTGAAATACAAAGTCTTAGTAAAATAAATGGCGTTAAGCTTGAATCTCATCTAATCTTAAATCAGTTATATACAGAGTTATTTCTAGATTAATGTTGTTCAATAGATCAATAAAGTTTAGAGTGAAAAAAATGCTACTAATTTACTCTCCAATATAATAAATTGCCCAAAGCAGAAAAGATATTTGTTAAGATTAATCTAAAATGAATTAGAAATTGAAAGGTATTGTTGATTTAGCTTTAAGCTCGAGCTACTGTTAAATCAAAACGAGAACGATTAGAAAAAACGCTATCTATTATTAATGTAGAAGTATTAAAAAATTAATTTGTGGATTTAAAATTGTATTGCTCATGGCAGAAATTTCCAAAATTAATGTTACATTATATATAATTTAATATACAATAAAATATATAAGCATAAAACTTAATCATATATTATTATTCATGATTGCATAATTTCCAATTAAATGACTTCCTTTTCAGTCCAATTCACTCACTCTTTAAACAAACAATTACCTAATTCCCTCCATTTTTGTTCATCTAAAATTTATAAACAAAACCGCCCATTAAAAGTGAACTCGAAAATTACAAATTCCAATTCCATTTGGGTTTGTTTATAATTGCTTGTAACACACTCCAATTAGATAGCAGATACGCCTGCCCATCTAATTGGAAGCCATTTGTATGGCAAGTGGAAAATCGTTTAGCTGTCAATTACATTTTCACATGGGTTTTTATTGATTTTGCCTTTGGGCTGAATTCGTGTTGGTCGAATTGGAGGGCAATCAACGGCTGTTCATTATCATGTGTTAATTCCAATTAGAGCGGCCATGTTTGTGCGTGCGAGTGTGTGCGTGTGTATTTGTTATTCAAATAGCAATATATGTATAAGCATATTTGGTTGTTTGCCTGTCAATGGCCAAGGCAAACATAAATTGAGACAAATGCCCCATGACAAGAAATCAAAGCAAAGCAAAGCGAAGCAACGGGGTAAGGGGAGTGCTCCAATAAGATTGCGCAATGCCGACACAAATTATTAATTTGCGCAACAGTTGCAGCCATTTTGTGCTCTGACTTATGACACAGTCATGTCCATTGTTTGCTAAACGGCATTAGACAAACAACAACGTAAACAATCGCGACAATCGCAACAATAAATGCTACGATTCGATTAAAAGATCAGCCGAAACGAGAAGACTGGCAGCAGCAGCAGCAGCAGCAGAAAAAAAATGCAATTCCAATAAGATTGACAATGAGCGGCTGCCTAACGAGCCAGCTGCAGTGAGTGCGAGCGAGAGGGCAGACATGCAGGCAGGCAGCCAGGCAGCCAGGCAGCCAGGCAGAAGTCTGGCTTGTTGTTGCTCTTCTCTTCTCTTATGTTGCTCGTTTGTAAGCAACATACATTTTTGCGCGTCAGCGCCGACAGCGGCTCTCTCTCTCCCGCTCTCTTTCTCTTGCTGTGTCTTTCGCACTGTTGGCTTCGCAGCCTCAGCAGACTCCGAGTCGGTGACTGCGCTGCGCTGCGCTTTGTTTAAATAAAAGCCTCTTTAAGTTTATCTATCGGGGCGCATCTAAATTGTGTGGGGAGCCCGTCGCGTCTGTGCGATTATGCTATTTGTTGCTGCGACTGCGCATTCGACAGTCGGCAGCGACTGCCGCGATTCTCTTGTAATGTTTTGCCGGTGCGCTTTTAGTTGATTTTTTTTTTTTGCTTTCTTGCTTTTGCTTTGGGTCTTTAGGTTGCCGTTGTTGTTGCTGTTGTTGTTGTTGTTGTTGTTGTTACTTATTGCTTGCGTTGTACGCTTCATGTTTTGATTGTATTTATTTTAGTTTGAGTAACTTTACTTTTTGCTGCTGCCGATGCTGCCGCCACTGCCGCCACTGCCGCTGCTGCTGCCGTCCATTTCTGATGAAGATTTTCTGCGCGATTAACTGGCAAAGATCGCCTTACGCGCGCGCTCTACGCGGCCTCTTTTATGTGAAAAGCGTTTCGTGCGCAAGTTTAATCATGTCTCTTTTCATGGAACGTCGGAACGAGCTGGAACGAGCTGGAGCGGGGCAACGCTGCTACGGGGAGAGAGCGCCTAATGGGGAACGGTTGAATTTCGCATTGTGCAGACATTTGAGCAATTGCGTTTAATGTTATTCATAATTCGTGTCTAGGGTTTCTCAACTGTTTGTTTGTTTTGGTTTTATTTTATTCGCTTTTTCTTCATCTTTCTTTTAATCGCCGTATAATTGTTGCTTGCCGTTGCTCTCGCACTCTCTCTCTCTCTTTCGCTCTGACTGAAATTAAGCTTGATTAATTTGTTGGTTGCGTTATCGACGCGTCGGCATCTGGGGCCCCAGACCGGGGGCCGCGACCTGCGTTCGACTGTGAGCGACTCGGATCGGGGCAACAAAGTTATTAAACTGGATTGGGTGTGCAATTGGGGCGTGGCAGTCGGCCCGGCCAGATAATAAACCGTGGACAGCTTTCGATGGACGGCGGCAAAGCAACTTCGGCGATAAAGTAAATAAGAAAAGAAAAAAAATTGAGAAAGAGGAAAAAACAACACTGGAATTTCTATTTTATGGCCAACGGATGTTGTCTAAAGAGCTAAGAGCAACATTTTAATGGCCCATTTTGAAAGATGAATGCAGATAAGATAAATTTAGCTTATTAATTAGTTGTGTATGTCTATGAGTGTGTGTATGTGTAAGAAAATAATCAAAGTAATTCTAAAGGCTTTTCAACAGTACATTTCAACATAACCTCAATAAAGGCGAAGAGAGTCATTGACTGTAAGTATGTGTGTGTATATGTACATATGTATGAATTGTACTAGAGCCCAATTAGACAAGCTCACATACACATATATGCATGCATGAGTATTTTTGTATAACTATCATCAACGGTCGATGTGTGAAGCAAAAAAGGCATCAAAAACAATTATGAAATCACAGCAGATGTTGGAAACAAAATTGTGGTGGTGATTTATAAAGCGCAGGGCTAAAAACAGCTACAGCTACAGCTACAGCTACAACAACAGCAACAACAATGACATCAAAAAGCGCAACATTTTTGTTGTCTTTTATTAAAAGAGAAGAAAAACGAAGAAGCGAATGGAGGCAAAGCATGTGGCATGTGTTACACATACACAAAAGCAAACACACAGACGCACAGGCATTTGTAGATGTGTGCAAAAAGAGGATGGAGTATGCCACTAAAAGGACTGCAGATGCGCAGCCACAAGCAAGAAACTTATGTACGTTGGAGATTTACGACTTAAATGCTGCAGCGCATAATCAAAAAGACAAGCGGAGATGAAGCTGGTATCGAAGCATCCGCAGGAATAGGACCAACAGCAGCTGTAGGAGCAGCGACAGCGGCAGCAGGAGCTGGAAAAAGCAGCGACGCTGGCAGTGCACTTAATTAACAAATATACAAACACTTAACATAACCTCAACTGACAGGCGGTCGGTCGGGCCAGGCAGAGCGTTGACTGAGCGAGACAACGCTAGTGTAACATTTACCCCACACCCTCGTGCACACACACACATGCTAAGGCAGTCGGCAGCTTGCGCAGCTCGCCGTTCATTGGATGTTCGAATTGTGCGAGAGAGCGGTGGAAAAGAGAGCGCACGAGAGCAGTATCTGCGCTCAGTGTGTGTGTGTGTGAGTATATGTTTTGTTCTTATTGCCGTTCCGGTTTTGGGCCTGTGGCCTGACTGGCGACTGCTCGCTCTTGCTCATTTTTGCCGTCTCGTTTAGTTGCAAGTTCGCGGGAGCTTCAGTTGGTTCAGCTGACTGGCAGAGCGCACGTAACGGAAACCGGGCGAGAGTTTTTATTGTTTTTTCGAACGTTAAATAGTACTATGTTGAATATTGAATGCCAGACGTGCGTGAGCGCCATCTAGCGGCGAGACGACCTAACGAAACGAAAGTGCTTGTGTGTTTGTGTGCCCGTGTGTGCATATTACACCGACTGTGTGCGAGTGTGTGTGTGCGTGTGAACTAATTGTGAATTGTAAATAGCGCAACATCAAAATGCCGACGGCTTTGCAGCCCCTGGGCTAGGCGCACGTCTGACGCATTGAACTGCCATCGAACACTGGCTACACTTATGTCCACGCTGGCCAGCAGCCGCCATCCGACGCTGAATCTGACACTGAAACGCAGCAACGAGAATCAGCATCAGCATCAGGATCAAGAAGCTGTGCCTGCTGCAATGCATCCCGATTGCCTGCCCCTGCCACTGCCCCTAGGTGCAGCTGGTGGCCACGGCAGCAGTCCGCAGCTGCAGAAACCGGACGATGGGGACGAGGACGAAGGCTCAGCCTGCGATGAGCATATGGTGAATATTTTGGATGACCAGGAGGAGCCCAATGAGGATGACGATGAGGAGCTGGATGATGCGGCCAGCTGCTGCAGCGAGAATAGCGTCCTCAGCGTGGGCCAGGAGCAATCCCAGGTGGCAGCGGCCCAGGCCAGGCAGCGCCTGCTCATGAGCCAGCTCTATCGCCCGTCGGCCTTCAGCAGCGTGGCCAACAATGTGAATCCTCATGCGCCAGCCGCCGAGGATGCTGCCCATCCCATGCCTGCGCCGGCCAGCTTTCAGGAGGAGTTTCTGCGCAAGTCGCAGCTCTATGCGGAGGAGCTAATGAAGCAGCAGATGCAGCTGATGGCTGCGGCTAGGGTGAACGCGCTCACAGCTGCTGTGATGCCGCTGGGCGGCCTGCGTGGACCCAAGGTCACACAGCAGCTGCAAATGGCCATGGCGGCCATGAGGCCCACGGTCGGACAGGATGCACTGGCTCAATTGACGGCTACGGCGTTGGGCATAGCGCCCGCAACGCATCCACATCAGCTGCTCATGCAACAGCAGCTGCAGCAACAGCAGCAGCAGCAGCAACAGCAGGCGCAGCAGCAGCAGCATCCAAATCCTTATCAGCCATTGCAGAGCAATCACAACTACAACAACAACAATAACAACAACAATAATTTGAATGATAATGAACGCGCCTTGAAGTTCAGCATCGACAACATACTCAAAGCGGACTTTGGCTCACGTCTGCAGCAGCGTCTGGCCGCAACGGGCGCCGGCGCTGGCATCGGCGCTGGAACTGGCACCGGAGCAGCGCTGAAGACGCCGCGCAAAAGCCAGAAGCCATTGAATCTGGTGCAGCTGCAGACGCAAACGCAGCCCAGCCTGAGCTTCTCCAGCACCTTGGCCAACATCTGCAGCAATAGCAACGACTCCAACAGCACCGCCACCAGCAGCAGCACCGCCAACAATCCGGCAGCCGTTGACCTGGTCAAGTCGCCCAGTGCCACATCGCCGGCGCCAGCGTCAGCATCAGCAGCGGCCGCAGCAGCCACTGGCAAGGCAGCAGCCGATGATAGCGGAACAACTGCGACGGCCACATCCACCAGCTCCACGCCCATTGTGTGGCCCGCTTGGGTCTACTGCACGCGCTACAGCGATCGCCCCAGCTCAGGTGAGTGTCCTTGCAGGGAGGAAGGAATAATATTAAATGAATATATATGGAGATTGGTGTTTTGGATATGGATGCATACTCCAAGAACTATGCTAACTAAATGTTCTTTGTATAAATTTGATTACGTTTGTTCATAAAGGCTTAAATCTGGAACCAATCCCAGAAAGGAAAGATCTGCTGTCAGATTGAGACAGATTCTTATAATTAGTTTTACATCAATAGGTCAATAGATCGTAGGTCACTTATCTATAATTGCTTCAAGTATTCTATTCTATAAAATACAGAATATTTATAAAATATATATAATAATGATAGAATTGATAATCGATAGATATAAATATATAATGTAAATATTTGTATTATAGAGCTGAAAGCTATAAACAATTTAAATATGAGCAAATCTTTTGATAGTTAATTAGGAGTCATTTTCTGTATTTTTGTAAATTTTAAGTAAACACTTTAAATTTTATATGATATGATTTCTGTTTTCAATTTTCATATCAATATAACCGTTAACTTTTGTTGTATTCAGCTGGATTATCTGCAACACTAAAATGAAATTGAAAAAAAAAATATATATATATATTTATAATATTTATAACCAGCTAATATATGAAATATGTATATAGTTATGTACATGTGTATTAGAAAATCTATAAAATTTGAGAATACTTAATTTCTATGCAGGAATATTCTTTAATATTTTAGATAATCAATTATCATCATACTGTGAAGAGTTCAATTAAAAAGTAACTGATTTTTCCATTCAAAATTGTGCTGAAAGTAATATAAACCTAGTTTTTAGAGTGAAAGGAATATTTAAAATATATATATATTTTTTAAAGTTATTACTATAATAAACACTCAATTAAAATCGATTAAATAATAAGCTGTTAGAGTCTAAAAAAATTATTCATTGATGCTGCTCAACTTCGAACTAACCTCATATTCAAAAGAAGGAATATTTCGATTAGAAAAATATAGTCCCTTTCCTCAAACACACACACTGAGGACAGGCAGTCAGACAGATAGATGGACAGGGTGTTGAGTGGTTGAGTGGCTCATAAACAGTTGAGCAAACAATGTGGCAACCACAGAGTACGCCGCACCGTATCCAGACAGCGGCGTCAATCTGCAGCTCATTAGGTTGCAACCACCAAAAAAAAAAATGAAAGAGGAAGGAAAGGGGCAACTGCCATGGCACGCTCACTCCAGCATGGCACACTGCCACCACCACCACCACCAGCACTACCGCACCGCACCCTCGCCTCATACCCAAGCTACCAAGTTCACATTCGACTTCCTTTAGCCACTCATGAAGTGTTTGCTCGAGTGGTTTTTATGTCCTTATGGCTTATGTAACATAACTTAAGCTCATTATGCGCGTGCCTCTCTCTCTCTCTCACACTCTCTCTCTCTCTCGCTTTGACACACCCCCTCCTCTGCCCATAATCATGGCACTCATGAATTTAGTTTATGCCACCGCAGGGAATTTTCGGTAATCGTTTGCCTAATAATTTTATGTGGCCAACTAGTGCCTGAGGCACTCGGAACTGAATATTTCCTTTGGCTTTGGGGTTGTTTGCGAGGGTCGTTTCATGTTTAACTTGTCATTTTGTTAGCTTTTCCCATTATCCACGCACAGCTCTCAAGTGGGCGTCACAATAATCAAATAGACTCGGTTTGCTTCTTTCCTTCCTCTTCTTCTTCATTTTTGATACTCTGATATTAATTAATTTTTATTATTATTTATGTTCGCGTTTTAGTGGATAAATAATGCGTAATGAGTAATGAATGATGTGCGTTAGGTAAGCCAGGTAATGAGGCAATGAATCTCTTGATTAGAGTGTAACTAAATTAAAACACATTTAGTTGGCATTATTTTATATTATTATTTATATAAAGGAAGAAAGAGAGATGAAGAGATGTAAGATATATATATTTATATATTTAGTATTATTAAGTAATTTATCATCTTTTTGTCTCTCTGTCTCTCTTCTTCTCCCTATCTCTCTCGCTGTCTCTCCCTCTCTCTGTCTTTCTCCCTCTCACTATCTCTCTCGCTGTCTCTGCCTCTCTCTCTCTCTCTCTCCTTCTGTCTCTCTCTCTCTCCCTCTTTCCTCTTTCAATAATATATGTATATTATACTGGAATGCTGACTTCCTACGCATATGAAAGATATGTAAATATATTGAAATTGTTTTATATACATACATACAATACGTGGATGCTCTTATACATAATACAAAAATTAAAAATGCATTTGATTTAAACTATACGTTATATATTTTTATGTTTCCTAAAATACTTTAGTCTCTTAACACTCTTAGTTTCTTAACAACTTGATTCATTTGGCTATCTGATCTATTTGTCTGTTCGTCTGTCAGTATGTCTATCTAGATGTGCTTGTCTTCTTCCTTAAATTGTAGTATACTGTATCATATACATGTATCATCATCGTATCATATACAATAGATATTATTGTTGTTATTAATACTTATGGGTCAACACAAACTCTCACTTGCCCTATAGTTCATAGCTCTTAAAAGATAAACACACAGAATTTCATTCTTCTATAGCTGCTTGCTTATAATGCTGGATATAGAACATATATCATATTGTTCAACATATAGTTACTTACGTACATGTATATATGATGTAGATAATGTTCCACAGTTAAAAGTAATTCATATATTAATTAAATTTGCTAATTAACTAATTTAAATTGTGTATATCTTGAATGATTACGATTAGTTAGGATGGGGAATGAATACTTTAACCTCGATTCAAAATCCAATTGATATAAGGCTAGGTTACAAATTTAGCTGACATGCCTGCTGCTTCCATTTCATTCTTAGTTCTATATCAAGAAATAAGCAGATCTTTAAGTAACTGTATTGCTCGCTTCCAAATTGGCGCAGATTCTAGCATATGTGCTAGTCCATCACTTTCGATTAACGAACTTCAACTGTTTCATTCTTGCTGAGCTTGTTAAGCATAGTAAACTTTCAAGATTAGACTGATTAATGTGAGCTTTACATTTGACTTCCCGCTCAACTGAGTTCCAACTACCCATCTGCCTGCCCAGCCCCCTATATATGGCTGCTCACTACGCTACCCTTTTCCCCGATTGCTGCTCCCTCGCTTATCGCGCATTCAAAGCTAAAAGTTGAGTGCATAAATTGCTTTTGTTTGGGTTTGTCGCGTTCGCTAATTAACCAGAAAATGAAACGTTTTTTTCCAACCATTTTGTTGTTGTCTCTTTCAGTTTTTTTTTTTTAAGGTGTGTTTTGTTGTAAAAATGTATTATGCATTTTATTACAGTGCTTGTTGTTGTTGCTTGTTTGGATTTTTTAAATTTAGCGTGACTAAAACGAGATCTCGATCGCATTGCGGCTCCATAATTTGAATGAATGTTGTAGGCGATGAAGTTGAAGCCGGAGCTAAGAGTTGGAGCTGGATGGAGCTGGGGCTGCAACTGGAGCGGGAGCAGCGAGATTTCAGTTAACAGAAAATAAAACATGAAAAGAGAGAAGGGGAAAAATATTTAAATGCAACTCGAAATATTGAAATAAAAGTCATAAATTTAGAGCTTTTGAAAAATTGCCTTGACTACGACAAGAAAGATTATTAAATTTTATTAAAAGGTGTTAATTTGACAAATTAATGCGGCACATGTGTATGTGTGTGTGTGCAAGTGGGTGTGCTTATGCGGAATTAGCCGTCGACTGCGCTCATAAAACAGTTATTTATTACAAAGCATTTGAATATTATTAAACGAAACTTTAATAATTACGAGACGGCAATCGAATTTATTGCATGTTTCTAGCTTGCTTAAAATATACTTGAAATAAAATACTAAAAATAGCAAAACATTTTTATTGGCTAAATTAGCATTGAAGTTGCAGTTGCGTCCGATATAGACGCTTAGCCGATATTGATTTATTGTTGCTGCTTGTATACCTTATACTACTTGAATATGCAAAAAAGGGGTATAATGTGCTTGTGTTTGCTTATGTAAGATGCAGAAGCAGATGATGTAGACTCTTTAAACTTTAATGTAATCAAATTTCCTTTCCCTTCTTGGGGCTTCTTTTGAGCCTAAATTTGTTTAAATTCATAACTCTTATTTGCAGTCCCTGCTTTAAAGTATATTCTTGATCAGGACGATGGGTTGACTCCATCTACACTTACTTGATGCTTCGACTCTCAAATCGTCTATTCTTAGTACGTTTATTAGTCTATTCATTTACTTTTAGTCTTTTATAGGACGCACGGCTGGACAATCCATCTATCTATTTATTCGTCTATCTACCCATTTGTCTGTCCGTCCAACGATCTAAACGTCTATCGGTCCGTTCATATGACCATTCGTCTGTTGGTGTGCTCGTTTGCCCTACCGTCTTTCTGTCTGCTTGTTTGTGTGTTCATCCATCTGAACGTTTGTCTCTCCGTCCGTCCGTCCGTCTGTCTGTCTGTCTGTCCGGCTGTCTGTTCATCCGGCTGTCCGTTCGTCTATCCTTTCGTCTGTCTGTCCATCCGCCCGTCCATCTGACTGTATGACCGTCTGTCTGTCAGCTCGTCTGTATGTCCGTCCGTCTGTTCTCTCGAACGAATGCTCACCCGTTTGACTTCCGTACGTACTCATCTCTCTATCTGCCCGCTTATCCTATTTCATATTCTTATTCTATTCATCCGCTCTGTCCGTCCGTCCATCCGTCCATTTGTCGTTTAGTCTATCGTTTTTTCTGTCCGTCTATTTCTTATTTCATAATTTTAGTCTTGCTATATACTTAGCTATAGGAAAAAAGCGTCGCATGAATAAAATACTAGCTCTCTGCCAACTTCAGCATGTCTCCCAATGAGTCACTCCCCCTCTACGCGCTTCTTCATTGGCTTTTTAAATGGTTTTTTGTGGACAATTCTTGATGTGTTACAGGGTTTAACATTTCCTAGTTTGGAGTGCGCTGGGAACTTCATTTCATTTTTTCATTGCATTT